AGCGAAAATGAATATCAAACTTCAGAATTTTGTAAAATATCCTTCCAAGGTATAGTTAGATCAAACTTCAGATTAATCATCTTATCTAATGCCATTCATTTTAACATAAGAAGGTATGGAAAGTTGGAATTGACATTTCTATATTTGCCACCAGAGAAAATATAATTAGGACTTGCGGTGATGGGACAGTGAGTCCAAACATGTTCATTCCTATACCGGAATAGAAGGACATACTCACAGGAATGAGAATGCGAATGGCCATTTATAAGTCCACTCCTAAAACTATATGACCCATTCTTATATCTGAAGATAGTAATACCTGCCTGAAAAGCATTAATCTGGATGGGGTGAGCAGGTATGATATATCAACCAGGACAGCCGGGCTGTATGCACAAACTGTAGTGCCCAATATATGCTGAGGATGAATACAGAAAAGAGAGCAAACACTAGCTCTACCCTGTATCCAGAGCTTCCCAGGCTAAATGCTAAGTATTGTGAGAAGACACATTAAATATGTTGACATCAAAGGGGGGGGCTGTTCTAGAAAGGGTCCTCACAATAGAGAAGCACAAAAGCGAAGTCTCTAGAGAATCTCTTTTTCCTTCAATAAAATGAACTTTTTAGCAAAGGAAAACCCACATAAGAAATAAAGAAAAAGGGGCTGGAGACATGGCTCAGAGGTTAAGAGCACTGACTACCCTTCCAAAGGTCCTGAGTTCAATTCCCAGCAACCACATGGTGGCTCACAACCATCTGTAACAAGATCTGGTACCCTCTTCTGACCTGCAGGCATACATGGAGGCTGAACACTGTGTACATAATAAATAAATAAATCTTTAAAAAAAAAAAAAAGAAATAAAGAAAAAGAAGGAAGAAAAAAATTCCAGTTTGGCTCTTTTTCTCTTTTCTTTTTTTATTATTTACTTATTATTTTATTATTAATTATTATTTCATTATTCTTTTTATTATTTATTATATACATGTGTGGTATGTTTATGTCTACACATGAATGTACATGCACATGTGTGTGTTTGTATGTGGAGACCAGGCATCTTTGGAATTCTTCTTCCACTGCTCCTCTTGTGAATGGGGAGTGAGTATGTGTATATGTACATACCTGTGGGTTGTGCTCAGCCATATGGGCATACATAGAGACCAGGTATATGTTGATATCCAGACATTTTCTTCATTCACTGTCCACCACACCTTTTGAGACAGAATCTCTCACTAAATATGAAACTCACCAACTGGTTGTGTTGACAGGTCCTTGGGATCAGTTTCTCTGACCCCCAATGCTAGAGTTATAGAAGTATATACTGCCAGCTTGGCTTTTATGTGTGTACTAAGGGTTCAAACTCTAGTCCCCATACTTGTGAAGTAGGCATTCTAAACATGGAGGCATTCCATGACCCATTTTTTCACTTCTTTATTCAGACAGCTATCACACGCAAATGATGAAATAAAGAAGAAAGGGATGCAAAAGAAGAGGACAATAGAATGAATGCCGCCACCACCAAAAAATGTAGCACCCGGAGAAAGAACAAGTTGAAATAAACTTTCAGGAAGAAATATTCAGGGGCTGGAAAGATGGCTCAGTGGATAAGACCACTGGCTGTTCTTACAGAGAACTCAGCTTGAATTTCCAGCACCTACATGGCAGCTCACAATTCTCTGCAACTCTAGTCCCAGGGGATCTGAAGCCCTTTTCTGACTTCCAAGGGCACCGAGCATATACGTGACACGTAGTTAAAAATGCAGGCAAAATACTCATATGCATAAAATAATGTTCATAGGACTTTTCTATAAAGCTCAAGAATCTTACATAATTCAATACCTGTCTAAGGATATATCCTAATATCCTAATAAAGGAGAGCCTTAAGACATGATGACTATAAATGTGTTTAACAAGCAGCATTTGAAGAATGAAAAGTAACAATGTACAATAATAGAAGATTACTAATTACACAGAATACATCCATCTGATGGAACATTATGCAATTGTGATAGTTGAGTCAAAGGCAAAGATGAGAAACAAGTCTGTGAGCCATGTCTTTCTCGGTGTTCACAGTCTGACACCCAATGGTAAGCTTTTCTATTTTGCATTCTCTTTTTACCCCCTTTCTTTAACTGCAACCATGAACATTCATCTTCATTTTTTTCTTATTCATTTAGTCATACTAAGAACAATTTCCTTCTTCTGATTAACTTTTATCAGAAGATACGTTTTAAGTAAAGTCCTCATGGCTTGGAAACAAGAAAAACATTGTGGTAAAATATGTAGGGAGGCATGCACACACACTTGGACATGCATTGAGTATAAAAATACACAGCTAAGAAACGGAAGGGCTAAGAATGGACTCTGGATGAAACTTCAGGAGAACCAGAATGCCAGCATAAATGGAGATGTCTTCTCTATAGTTTTCTTTGGTCATATTTATAAATTCTGTTAACATTTTCTTAGGTTGTTTGTACTACTATCACAAGACCTATACAGTGAGTGGCATACAGGCAATTCATTTTCACAATACCAGATGCTAGAAATGTAAGGTCAAGGTATCAATAGATTGGTGGTTCTTCCAGCAATTTGATTTTCTGCCTAGCAGACTGAACCTTCCTATTGTATCCTTAAATGATACCAGAGTTTCTTAGTGCCATTGTAAAAAAGAGCACTATTTTTGCCTAGCACTCTTTTTGTAAGGACACTAATCCCATACATGAGGACCTCACCCTCATGACTTCGCCTCTCAAAGGTTCGACCTCCTAATGCATCATTTAGTTTAGAGCAGTGCATTAGCACTCATATACAGCAAACATTTACTCTCTGGTAACCATACAAATAAGTATGCATTATAAATGATTGTAAACATGATCTGGTCAAACATGCTTTTTTAATGTGGGCATAAATGAACTTAAAAAGATGATGATTTCCCAAATTTATACAATAACTAATATTAGAGATTCTTGTTTGTGAAGGAAAAGTCTAGACCTAAGTAATGAAAACAGAATTGTGGCGTGCTTAGCTTTTAATTCTCAAATTTAATTTAATTACTTGTTAGGAAATATTGCATGGCTTAGTGAAAGTTCTACTTGGTAAAAATTAGAAATCCAATTTAATTCTACCATCTTTCCCTAGTCTCTGCTCTTTCTGAATCTTGGTGCTGTTTCTCCCCTCCTTGCTCCAGTTGCACAAAATCTACTGTTCCTGTATCCGTGAAAATTCTTATGAATTCATCTTCATAGATCTGCATCAAATCAAAAGGTAAAACTATACATCTGTCCAAACTTCTTGTTTTCCAGATGGAAGAGACCATTTCTAAAGATGGTTTTTAATAATAATAATAATAATAATAATAATAATAATAACCTGAAAAAAAGAAATCGTAAGATAGTTTTTGGACTCAAAACATTTCACATATCGTTACTTCACAAAGAAAAATAAAAGATTTTTCATTCATATATTCTTTGAAACCAAAGGTAACCACCTTGTTTCACATAATATCATTGGTTTACAGTTTATGAGTGTGAGGTCTATCAGTTCATCCACCTCTCTCTGGGAAGTATCTCCATGAGTCCCAGAAGGCAACAAAGCATCCAGTCCAACAAAGTGATTAAAGATACAGAGTTTGGGCAAAATTGTAATTGAGAGATATCACGATGTGACTGCCAAAGCTTGTCCAGCCAACCACAGCACCAGGGGAGACATTGTGGTGTCTTGGCAGGAAGAAACAATGGAGGGAAGTTCAGTAGAAAATGAGGTATTTGGTTACTGCTCCTGTTAGCCTAGCTGGAAGAAGTCCAGAAATAAGTGCCACCATATCACTCTTTGCTTGCTTCCTGATTCCACTGTCAAGGTCACAGTTGACTTTACCCAAATATCACCCAGAAGGAAGGGGAGTTTATTGGAGAATTTCATCTAAGACATGGGGAGAGGAGAAACCCAGTGGCAGAAAGTTGATCTGAAAAGGTACAGGAAAACATCACACCTCGTCTCTGTTGTTTGCAACACCTGTGGCCTTCCATGCACATTTCTGTTGTTAACTTGTCATAGTCTGCAACTGACCTGGTTTGACTTATAGCACAGTTGTATGCTTCTAAGATATTCTCTAGGTTCTTAATCAATAACCCTGAGCTGCACACTTCTTCCTGCTAACTTTACTAATGTAATATTAAAATAAGGGAATGAATTTGTGTGAAAAATATACAGACTCTTTCACTGAACTGAGGATGGTTGTGTAAGGATGTAATCCTAGTTCTTGGGAGACAGAGGCAAGGCAAAAAGATCAAGAATTCAAAGCCAGTCTCACCACACAGTGAATTTGAGACCAGCCTGACAGACAGAGAGCCTTATTTCCTAAAAAATAAAACATCCATCCTTCGGAAGCTTAACATTTTCTGTAAGTTCTTCTAGGCAGCATCATTCCCAAACCCTGGAACATCCGAGTCCACATCACTGTCTCAGGAGGTATCATGCTGCTACTCTCTATATCGTAATACTCTTCCTCTGAACTCTAAAATGCAAAAGAACTTTTCTGTCCATTTAACCAAGACCATCTCAACAAAATCCTAAACCTCCTACCTTCTAGAAAAAAAAATGTTCTATTTAAAATTAGCTCTTAAACGTTGCATAAAATTTCTACAGTCACAATCAGACTTCAGCATCCTAGACCAGCTCACTTCATTTGAAATGAAGTGTTCCGTGGCCTGAGAGAGGAAGAAAGTTACGCCATAAAGGAAAGCAAACAGTTTGAGACACATAGAACCTGTGGTAGCTGCTGTTATGCTAAGAAACTGACACACACACATTCCAGGAAGGGACATAAGTCTGCATCCACTCTCATAATAAGAGGAATTGATTTGTGTGACGCTCAAAAAAGCACTCTGCAGTTTTAAGAATCTTCTAATAAACCTCTCAAACGGAAAAGACGAACTCGTTCATCCAGGAAAGAATGAAATTTTCCTGTGCGTAACACGTGGTGACCCAGTCAGACATGAAAGGGGAAAGGAATGACTCTTCAAAACATTTCCACTTTCTTAGGAAAGCGAACTTTTCTTCAATGTCTTTTTCAGAGCAACTTTGACGTCCTTATTCCTCAAGCTATAGATTAATGGGTTGAGCATGGGTACCACTATGGTGTAAAACAAGGAGGACACTTTCCCCTGGTTCATAGGCAAAAGGGAAGACGGTTTGAGATACATGAATGCTCCTGAGCCAAAAAAAAGAGAAACTGCGATGATGTGGGAGCTGCAGGTGCTGAAGGCTTTAGACCTGCCCTCTGTGGAGCTGATGCGAAGGATGCTAGAGAGGATGACAGCGTACGAAATGAAGATGGTGATTGTGGGTACCCCAATATCAATGCCCACGACAATGAAAACTACCAGCTCATTCACATAGGTGCTGGTGCAAGAGCGCTCCAGAAGAGGAAGGATGTCACACATGTAGTGGTTGATAAGTCTGTCAGCACAGAAGGTCAGTCTCACCATGAATGCTGTGTGGGCCATGGCTCCAGAAAATCCCATCACATAAACCCCTAGCAGAAGGAGCAAGCACACCTGGGGAGACATGGTCACGGTGTACATGAGAGGATTACAGATGGCGACATACCTGTCATATGCCATTGCTGACAGGATGAAGGACTCAGAGACAACAAAGAAAAGAAAGAAAAAGAGCTGAGTCATACACCCAGGGTAGGAGATGATGTTTTTCTTCGAGACAAAACTCACCAGCATTTTGGGGGCGATAACAGTGGAATAGCAGAAATCTATGAAAGACAAGTTGAAGAGGAAAAAGTACATCGGGGTGTGTAAATGAGAGTTCAGCCCTATCAGAGTGATCAAGCCCAGGTTCCCCACTACGGTGACCATGTAGAAACCTAGAAACAGGAAGAAGAGAGGCAGGCGGAGTCCTGGCTGATCTGTCAGGCCTGCAAGAATGAATTCTGGTAAAGAGTCATTCTCAGCTGCCATTCTCAAGGCCTCCTGCAGAGACAGAAACAAGAGGAAGAGGTCATTGTAGGGGGGGACAGAGAACACTGCTGCCCTCCCTGTCACCTCCTGGGGTCTAGAGAATTACATAAGCACAGATTCTGAACTTCTGCAGAGTCTGGTTTCTGGTTGCTGTGCAGTAGCAGTTCCACACTACGGTGCCTTAGGGAAGACACAAGGGCCGGTGACGCTAGAAATGACCCCAGAGTACTGGGACAGGGTCTTTAATTTGGTTGTGCTGTTGTGCCCCCTCTAACTCCAGCTTCTGTTCAAGTTTACAACGGTGTGGCAGTCTCTGGGAAGAGCTCTCAGAGGCTGAAACCAGCCTTTTTCCGAGGTGTCTAGCTAACTGTTCTCCTGGAAGAGCAGAAGGGTGATGGAGTTTTTCTCAGAGTTTTAGAAATTATTCAAAGCCTCACACGGATCCAATCACTCACCCTCCTTCAGCTCCAGTAGTCAGAACCGTGCCTTTTGCCTTGCTCAGGGAGGCTGCAGGGCGAACTCAAAGACGGGCTAAAAACAGACACCTCCACTTCCTCTGCAAGTGAGAATGCCAGAACTCACTGTTGGAGAGCAACCTCTGCAAAGAAGAGCTCTTCCCTAAGTTTCTTCTTAGGCTTTCACGGAAGCGGAGTCATTGTATTCTGGGTTTGGAGACCTGGGACCTGATTAATGCAGGAAGCCTGAGATTCCCTGGGGGTTCACAACACAACACTGGATATTAACTTTTTTTTTTTTGGTTTTTTGATGGATATTAACTTTTTAAAAAGAAGAACAATTTGCTTATACACTTGATAATAATTTAATGGGTTTTTGGTAACAAAAATATTTATTGAGAAACTGAGAATGCAATTTTGATAAGTATTTGCCTTGCATACATGAAGCCCTCTGGATTTAATACTCAGTTCAACAAAAACCAGGCTTGGTTGTGCTTGTCTGTAATCCAACAGCAGGGAAGTATGAGGTAAAATGAAGAGGAGGAGTTGGGAGGGGAATCCAATGTTTTGTCCATCTACCTAGTGAGTTTGAAGCCAGTCTGGAATGCAGAAGACCCTTTGTTAAATTATGTGGGTTTGTGTGTGGAGTGTGGGGGAGTGTTCATTTAACATCTATTCATTACTATATAAAGAACTGAAAAAAGTTCACTACACACTCTTTAGTGCATATTAAAAAACCATTTTAATTAGCATTTTATTCTAACCCATCATGATAGAATCTAATACCATTGTGTGTGTGCGGGTGCATGAGTGTGTGTGTGCAAACATGTGTGCGTGTACACACACAGTGGTACATTTTTCTTCACCCTTGAATCATATGAGCTGCTTTTATCAACCTGACTTTAGATATAAACTAATTTTCCAGATATTAAGCTATGGGAACCACATTAAACCTAGGTCCACCTTACTCTAAATGTAGTGTCAAAATTACTTTTAATATCGCCCAGTGGGAAATAATGAAATATAGAAAGTAAGATCGTTTACTTCAAAATCTGACATGTCTTGGCCATTATGATTTGATATTTGACTAGATATATAATAAGGTTCAGAAAGGGTAAAAATAAAAAACTGTGCTGGTTCAGATGATGGTGTTCAACAGACTGCTTACATTTCAGTTTCTCAAAGGGGCTGTAGAACACCAAGCTGTGGCAGAAGATAGCTTGCATCTTTCTGAATTGAGCTTGGTATTAGTGAGTATCGCCATTAGTTATTAACAGTTTTTCTAAAATTGCTTACCTAGCCAGAGAGAGTGCTGTAGCTTGACTCCCTCCCCTCTGTCAGACATTCACTGTCCTAACTCTCTTCCTTTGTTCTTTTTCTAGTTCCTCTCCTATGACAAAATTTACCTCCTCAGTGCCCAAGGCTCTCTGAGCCTGATTTGAGTTTAATGACAGTCCAATCTCACTCTTAGGACCTCACCAATTTAAAGCAGTATTTTAAGATATCATTTTCCCTAACTGCACAGTTAGACAATTATATTTTTATTTAAAATGTATATCCCGGTCCTCCAAATTTATTAGGCAAACATAATAAATCAGAATCTACAGGGGTGAGAGTTTGTAATCAACATTTCTCTTCGAATTCTCCACTTGTTGGCAGTTAGTCTGGGCAATTAGCCAGGGATCCCTAACCGAATTCTATATTTTCAGAAAAAAATTAAAATATGGATCTCTAACGTCTGCAGTTACATGGACTTAGAAGTCTAAATGGCCTTTAAAGTTAAGCACAGAGTTGGGCATCAAACTTGGAATAGCATCCCAGGGTCATGCAGGGGAGATACTTGGATACCACAATAACAATATGGAAGATGTGACTCCATGGACCATACTGAACGATGAAGTGAGCTTGTTAGATTATGCTGAGGGAGATCAGCTAATTGAATGGTGTATTCAATATCTGTGATTTGATGTAAAGCACTTCAGGTGTTTGTAGCTTTTAATTCAGATATAATTTATTAATTGAGTAACCCAGCAATAAGATAAGAAATTTGGAACTTTTAGTACAAGTTCTTGGTAAGTGAAACAGAATATTATAATTTTATGATGTTGACCCTGCCTAATAGCTATGGCCCCTCTACCCTCTACTTTGAACATTTAACCAAGCCTTGGGTTGATTTATGATAGCTATGGCAACAACTATGTCCAGGAACGGCCAAAGGACATTGTTTCTTGACTGTGCCACTTATCTCCCACTTTCTGCCACGGGTCTCTGTAGTTACAAAATGAAATGTATGTAATAGCCCATCGGTCATTCAGATGGTTTATGCAAACATGGCATTGTAGTTATTGCCAAATACCAATGAAGGTTAAAAGTCCTTCTGTCTTTCTAATGATCCACACATTTTTTTTAGTATCTCAAAGACTCCCATTAAGGTAACAAAGACCATATATTTGCATTGACTTTCCTTCCTCTCCCCTTTCACTCATCTTACCCCAGATCTTTTCTAAAAAAATTAACTACCTACACCACACATTTCCGTCTCCAGCACAGATTTTTGTGGAAACCCCAGCTAAGATGTTCTTACGGTGGTGTGGAAGTTGTTCTCAACTGAGTATTAGATTTCTATCTGAGTTGGGAAGCTACTACCTCACCCAGAGCATTTTGATCCCATGCCACAAAAGCAAATAGGAGCAACTGCGTTTATCAGTTACCTGGAATTTCATATTCTAGAAACTGTATCTTGAGCATAACCTGCCAAACATCAGAATGCTGCAGGATTTCATCAAATCGTTATCAACTTACTAATGGAGACTAACTCAGAAAGTTCTATGCACTTAATCACCAAGCATCCAACAGCTCCGCTCATAACTATTACTGTCATTGAGTCATTCTGTTCATTGTAATAGTGGATCCCTCCACGAACTAATGGAAGGCAAGTAAGCTCATTCATTTTTTACCATTAGGAATAAATGCAAAATGCAAGTAGGGCATCTCTTTATAATCTCCATAGCTTGTTGCCATGTAATAGAAAACTCTTTCTTTAAACCTTTGCTATTCTTGATTCTTTGATACTTCTTATGAAATTCAGAAGCCTGCAACACAGTTCCAATCAATAATTGATCAAATTCTGCATTACCTTGTGCTAGAGGACCTGGCAGACCCATATGGGATCGGATGTGTGTTATGTATATGGAACAAAGTCTATTCCTGATTTTGTCTTGCACCTGGATGAATAATGAAGTCAATTCTGTATCATCTGGTATAAATTCAGCAGTTTCAATATGCAAGATAACTCTTTCTGTATATTGCAAATCAGTAACTATATTGAGAGGTTCTTTAAAATCCCTTAGTACCATAAGAATAGCATATACTTCTGCCTTCTGGATAGAATTATAAGGGCTTTGTTCCACCTTACTTAATTCTTCTGATTTGTAACCTGCCTTCCCTGATTTATTTGCATCAGTATAAAATGTATGGGCTCCAGTTATTGGTGCATCATGTACAGTTCGGGGAAGAATCCAAGAAGTTCTCTTGATAAGGTTAAGTCTATTGCTTTCGGGATAATTGCCATTAATTTCTCCCAAAAAATTAGCACAAGCTCTTTGCCAGGGTTCATTGTCTTCCCATAACTTTTTTATTTCATCAGCAGTAAAAGGCACTATAATCTCTGCTGGGTCTATACCTGCTAATTGATGAAGTCTCAATTTACCTTTTATAATTAATTCAGAAACTTTTTCCACATAAGTTTTTAATTTTTGACTTGGTTTATGTGGTAAAAAGATCCATTCTAAGATAATATTTTCTCTTTGCATTAAAATTCCTGTAGGAGAAATTCTGGAAGGCAATATGACTGGAATACAATTAAGATTTGGATTCACCCTATCCACATGTGCCTCCTGTAATTTCTCCTCAACAATCGTCAATTGACTTGCTGGTACAAATGTTCCATAACGACATAATGACTGATTTTCAATCCCCCCATCTGCAAAATGGGAATGAAGGTGATAATTGTAGGTGTTGTGAGGGTCAAATTAGATCAAGAAAATGGAAGAGCTCAGCATAGTGGCTGATGCATGGATAAATGCTCTTGCTAAATGTTCTAAATATATGCAGAAACAAAAATAAAATGTATATAATTTAGGGGTGGAATGAGAGAGAATAAGTCTTGCTGAAAGTTATGTGGCTTGAAAGAGGCAATCGGGAGCTGAAGAGAAAAAAGGAAAAATGAGGGCTATCTAAGGAGTTTTGAAGCAATGCTGGCTTCTTCAATGCTTTATCCAGGTAATAACCCTCCACTCATTCAAGCAACCATAATTCAACTCAGTGGGTCATTGCAAGGACATCAAATTAGGATGAGGGTTTCTGGGAAGAAGAAACATCTCAGCAGAGAAGAGGGATGAGGGAATGAGTAAAAGCTCAGGATATACTTATGAAATTATCATATAATGAAAAAAGATGAAAAGAAAAAATCTTTAGCTAAACTCATCTCTCCCATATAGCTGAATCTTCAGACAGTATCATGATCCTTCACTGTTTTATCGTCTCCTTGTTCCCTACCCCGCCATCAATACCATATGTCCCAAAACTCCGTGCTCAATCATACCACAAATCCTAAAT